ATGATATGCTTAGGCCGCTCAATTGCTTGCTATGACGTGCACTGACCACCAGGGGGAAGACGCTCCGACTCGTAGGTGAGCTTGCTGCTGGGATCCAGCCAATCGGGACTGAGTGAGATGGGCTGGACACACCCTGGAACCCTCCTACGGTCCCTCTCCGGCTAGCCAACCTCCCACATCCCTCCCACGCCCTGATAGTGCACCAGTGGGGTCCCTCGGCCTGGCCTGCGCCCTCTCGCAATCCAGGACCCCTCAGGAGATGTCAGAGAGCTGGTTTCGGCCTGATCCCACAGGCCAGGCACAGGGGCCCCACTGATGCATGAATTCGTGCACCGGGCTTCTAGTCTTAATATAACAAACACTGAGAAATAGAGACGGGGTGGGATTTGATAACCTGGCAATGTAAACTTTATTTTACCACTTTTCTGACTGAGAATGGAATTTTGATTAGACATTCATGCAACAACTGGAGTGACCCACCCATGTCCTTCCTCTTCCTAACCTTGATTTAAAAAGGTAATGTATCAGTGACTTATGCAGTGCAGTTTCAATATAAATTGGTATAATTTTTCTTCAGAAAAAAGCAAACAAATGCCCCAAGAGTAAAATAAAAAAAAAGAAAAGAAAATGTGTAATACTAATGATTCTACTGCTTGGAATCTATCCAAAATAAATAATCGGATAATCCAGGTAATTAAAATGGAATCAACCAAAATGTGAACTGTAAAAGATTGATTAAGTAAATTAGGTTATATCCATATGGCTATTATTGCTTAATTCCAACCATGAAAAATCATCACTATTGACAATTGTTCTAAGTTAAGGTCAAGTGGAGCGTTATTCTTGATTAGCACCCCTTGGGATTGGGCACAGGTACTCTATGTGGGTAGTCTATACCTCATACTTCATGAAATGCTTAAATATGTTCATATCCTCAACTACATGAGATAGGGAAGCTGTTCCACTAAGCTGATATGACTGTTTGCCACCCATGTGCCTCCAGTGGGAAGGTTCAGTTTGATTACCAAGTAGGAAGTTACTCTTTACATGTAATGGAACTTTAAATACCATAGTATAGCAAGATGTAAAAAGAAGATATAAATAAGATGGCCCACAGAAATCATCTTTGCTTTACCTGTGCCCTAAAGAAAAAAATTTGATTAAGAAACTAGCTAAGAAAGAAGCAGTCTTTGATGACTCAGAGAATTACATAAAGCAGCCACAATTGTAAAATTAAAATTTCTTCACATATAGGCTATATATTTTTTATGAATGCTTTTACACTTAACTCCAAGTGTTAAAGTGAGAAGCAATCGAAGCTAGAAATATTCACACTTTTTATGGAGTTCTTTCTACCTTTGAAGGTTTCAAATGTCTGCTCATTACAGTTTTAAATGCACTTATTTAAATCTAGCATTTATTTTCCTTTTTCTACATGTAAATAATGCGTTGGTAACATCATACATTTGCTTTGGAGAAGATGCTGTTTTGTCACAGAATAGCTTTGAAGCAGTAGTCAAAAATCTTTTATTAACCCACTAGAGGCCTGGTGCATGAAATTTGTGCACAGGTGCAGTGCCTAGGCCTGGCAGGTGATTGAAGCATGAGCATCTGGTGTGGAAGGGCAGGTCCCAGCTAAATCTGGGCCCTGGGCAGCACCTGGGCCCTGGGCCCCTGTGTTCCCCCCTCTGCCTGAGTCATGGTACCTGAGTCCCCACATGGAAATGCTGTGAGCGTGGCCAGATGCTGCGGGCTGGGGGGCAGCGTGGGCCTCTGGGCCGCCCAGCGGTGCTGCACAGAAGATGGGCAGGCAGCACACTCTCTCCCAGCAGGCCTTGCAGACTGGTTCCTGAGAAAATTCACGGGGAGCCCTACCAGCCCCTGTGGTCCCAGTGGCTGTGGCCCAGCTCACCCAGAAGATGCCTTGTGGGCTCCTTGTGGGTGTCCAGCACCTGAGTGCGAGGGGCTTCCCTGGCATGTGAGCCCTGGCATCCCTGGGGAGGGTGCCAGGGGGCGTGAAAGCAAGCTCAGTGGACACCCCACATTTGCACCACACCTCCGTCCCCATCACCCCCAACCCCAGGTAGCTGGAGAGAGGTTGCAGTGCATCGCTGACACCCGCCATATTTCGTGTCGCTCCCTGGTGGTCAGCACACGTCATAGCCAGTGTTCCAACTCCCGGTTGAAGGGGAAATTTGCATATTAGGTTTTTATTATATAGGATTCCAAGAGTATCCCTCTCTACTTGAGATGACTGGCCCTTGTGCTCCCCAGCGGCAAGTCTCTGATCTTAATGCTCTCTGTGTCCCAGCAGTGCCCAACATAAACCAATGTTTGTGGCACAGCGGCAAGTCTCTGATCTTAATGCTCTCTGTGTCCCGGCAGTGCCCAACAGTAGAAGATACTAAACCAATGTTTGTGGCCGGAAGAACACTCTGAGGACAATCCCTACTCCATCTAAGTTGTTCTATTCATTGTCCCCTGAGTACATTTTGCCCCTTCTCCCTGCCCATTGGTTGCCGTCTATCCTATTACATTTATTAAAATCCGTTTCTTCCCTAAGTGTCACTATTTTTATTATCCTCTATTGGTTAGCTGAGGCACCACCAATTCCTCTTTCTTTAAACACATTGGGGTTTTTGTCAGTTCCATTTCCAATATCACAGGACATCTTGCATTACAAACTTTCATAATGACATGCATTACATATCAGTAATGGTTCTTTCATATAAGCAATAGACTGGTGGAGATGGAGGCTCACATAATTAACAGGAAGCTTGTACAGCAGGCTACAGATCATGATCCAAGAGAATTCAGGAAGGATAAGATTTAGGAAGTAGGAACCACAATAACTTTCCAATAGCTGGAACAGGCATGGTCAGGTGGGATTGGGCACAAGTACTCTCTATGGGGAGTCTAGAAGGGAGGGAGCAAACAGTGGTATTGAATTTACACGCATGAAGAGGGAGGAGATTTCCAAAAAGGAAACTGAAGGATCACTAGGAAGAAGCATGAATGCTGAATAGCCATCTATTTACTAAACTCTAAGTAGATGATTAGCCTTATACTACTTCATCTGTTAAAAGAATGCTTGGACAATAGGTGGTCATATATGTGCTAATAGAAAGAAAAATATATTAATATTTTTGAGATGATATTAATAGCTATCGAAATTGTATAGCTGGGCTAGATGTATCCATGAAAGCAGGCACTATTCTGATGCTCACATGAGTCAAAACCAGGTATGCAGACCCATCTAGAAGGCTATTCTCTAAAACCTGTGATCCCTGTGCACTGAGGGTTGTGCACAAACTGGGAAGCCCACACATGAACAGAGAATGTATGTAATAATGCTTTGAGTGCGGTATCTATTGAAGGTGTTTAGTCAATTAGCAGTGGTTTCTCCGCTCCAATTAGAGTTCAGGCTTCTCCACTAGAGCAGAGGGTGTTTTACATTTGCCTTTTTTATTTTCCCTTTATTTATCATCCAGCTTTGTCCAAAAACTTCACAGAGGAAAGATAAAGCTTTATGTTTAAATCTTTTTCCATTGTTAAGATAAAAGTCTTTGGTGATTCTTAGGTGATCTAAGTGTTTGGTTTTCACTACAGCCAAAGAATTGGCTTATGGAACTACTTTCTTTTTTAAAAATATTTATGTATTTATTTTTAGAAAGAGAGAGAGAAACATCAATTTGTTGTTTATGCATTCATTGGTTGATTCTTGTATGGGTCCCAACTGGGGATTGAACCCCCAACCTTGGCGTATTTGGACGATGTTCTAACCAACTGAGCTACTAGGCCAGGGCCTGGAGCTATTTTCTTTAGGTTGAAATCTTTATGATGAAGAATTTAAACAGACTAAATTATGTTTTAGTAACCACTTTTTAAAAAAATTATACAATGATTAATCCTTACCAGCTGCTAAATTTGAAAAAAAAAAAAAGTAACAAAAGGAGTTAACAGCAACAAAAATCCCAGCCTTTTCAAAATTCAGAAAATTTGATGGAAAGTAAATGCATTCACCAGACTCATTTTGTGCAAGGAATATTTTCAGTGTTCTGCGGCATTACTTAGTTATGTCCTCATTTCGGAGTTAAACCATACAAATAAAGGGAAAATGACAGGGCCAGGAAACTTGTATCCACCCCCCTTTCCTATGGCTGTGCCAGCTGCCAAAGTGCTGACCAAAGTTGAAAGGTCAGCTGTCATCTGTGGCAGATGTGCTTTATTATGATAAACACCTAGACGCTGGAAATAGTTCTGTTCAAAGGTGGTTTATAATTTAGGTGAGAAATAGAAATGTGAGGGAGCTTCACTGCTGGGAATCTTATTTCATATCTGTGTGCAATTAACCAGCTGATAAACAGCCTTTTGTTTTCCATCTGAATGGCCAATGTCCATTCATTTGGGATACTACCTTGTCAAATGGGCAACAATAACAATAAAGTTTATGTATCTTGGCTCTCTTGGACTCTAAAGCCTGTAGTACCCTCCAGCACTGAAATCAAGAACCTGAACTGAACATGCAAGATAATTATCTCCCAGAATCCACCCGATGGCGAGGCTATGGAAGATTATCTTGTTTTGAACTGGAAATAAGGATCAAACTATCTCTTTCTTTCAATGACTTTATTTTAGTATAATCAGAATATGATTACAAGCCTTAGTAATCTCTATTCCACATGCTTCTGTAGCTTAAACTTGAAGATATACATAATCACATTTCAAAAGATAATCTAAGTTTTAAAAAGCTATGACAATGTCTTATTTTCTGAACTGTAGCCATTTTCTAAGCACTTGTTGGCACTGCTGAGGACTTTTTGTCTTCTCTTCACAAGCTTTAAATTTTGCTTCTTCACTTTAGTTTTTTCTCCTCATCCATTCATTTTCCAGAGTGCCATATTTATCCTTTTTTTCTAAATAATGTCATTCGTTCCTGTTTTTGCTTAATGTAATATTTTCATAAATGAAGATGACAAATTATTATTTTTTTCTTACAGTGATGATTGAAAAGAAAAGCCAGCAGTATCCTCCTGCTTAGTTTCCCTTGAAAAGAATGAGCAAAGTGATCTGTGTAGCCTTGCAACCAGGGAACAGATTTCCTGTGTAGGGCTCACAACTCTGGAAAGGTAATTGTTATTGTCACATAATTTCTGGTAAAATTTGTGGAAGAAGGGAAATTACATGATTAGTGTTGACTCAGATATGACTAGGTCAGTTTATGAAGGGAAATCAATGTAGATTTTTGTTCATCTCCCAATAAATATTTATTGAGTACTACTATGTGCTATTTACTTAAGGATAGAAAAATGAATAATGTATGGCTTCAGTTCCCAAGGACTTAGTAACCTAGCATGTTTGGTTGTACTCGTAGAGTAGTGGTAAATAATAATGATTGTCAATAATTTTGGTTTCGTTGGGAAATAAATATATCACCTGGGACTTGTACACGTATCACCTGAAAAATCCACTCTAGTTCAGTTTCTTAACCTATTTTATCTATTACCATAGATTTGCTTAAATGTGATGCAATAATCATTTATGTCTATCACAAATCTCATTTACATGTAATGAGCATCAAAGTTTTCAAATGATTTCAAAGGCAAGACATAGAATGGTGAGCTCAAACTTTAACCAAATGTAGGAAACTTTTCTCAGCTCCTACTGTGTCTGGGAAAGTTCTTCATGCTCTATTAGAAATATGCTCATTAGCATAAAGGACAATATTGTGGACATGGGACTTGCATACATATCTAAATAACATACATGAATAGATGACAGTCGATGTGATATAGACCATGTATCAAAAGTAAAAATTCAATATTTCAATTTTAAGTAATAGATCATTATGGAGTAGGGTTAGTCATAGAGAAAGGTCATTATTAAATTTTACATATACTGAAGTATTGAACTTGTTTTAGTAAAAAAGGAGGAAGATATGCATGTTCTCAATAATGAAAATAGAGAAAGAAAAAAACAATATTGAAAAATTAATTTGGTGAATAATTTTAGGAAATGTCATACCCACATAGCACTTTCACTCCAACCAAAGAATTGGTTTGTGGCACTGTTTTCTTTAGGTTGAAATCTTTATGACGAAGAATGACTACTATTGCTATGAATTGATTTTCCAGTAACAATTACTTTTACAGTATCAATAATTCTTACCTTCTCTTGTTTAGCAGTTTAATTTCTTACCTGCTAACTATACTTGGTAAATAGTTATTATGAATCATGAAGTGTTTGTTGACTTTTACATGTCTAACCCTGGGCTGGGTTTTATAGAGCAGAACAAAAATGTAAGACATGATCTTTTCCTGCAAGGCTAATCTAATATTATTGGGTAGCCTACTGTATGGCAGTAGATCTGAAAATACAATTATTGGTCATATGGAAAGAGATATGTTGTTACTGTAGGAAGACAGAGCTTATATCTAAGGAGTTTTGTGTCATAGGTCACATAGACTCTAGTAAAATGACCAAAAAAAATTTCTCTGATCATACTTGAATTTTGTAGTCATCAAAGGGTGTTTGCTTTCAAAAGGATTATTATACTACCAGCTTTCTTGCCTTGGGTAATGTCAATTAAATCCAAATTATTTTATAACAGAGATTTTGCCATTTTTAGAGACAGGATAAGTGAACTAGAAATGACAAAAATCAAATGAGAAATGGAAAAATAATGTTTGATATTTACCTGTAAATTGCTTATTTTTCAGTTAACTGTTGGTTTACCCTTGTCAAATGTCCCCATTTGCAGATGTTTTTTAAAAATCAGGCTGTTTTTATTTCCGGTTAAATACAATTTAGTTTCTTTTAATGCATGTTTGTGCCCAGTGCTTTCTGAAGAGCTTTGTGTTATCTCTGGTATCTACTATGTACTTATACAGAATCACTTTCAGTGTGTGTGGCCTGGTTCCTAACAATCTATCGATTCATTGAATTTCAGAAAGACATCAATTGATTCTTTATGCGGCCTGGCAGAGCAATTCTTAATTTTTGTCTGTTTCTTTCCAACATCAGTCTTAAGAAGAAAAGGTTTTCCTTACATTGCCTTGAAGGGTTTACTGAATCATACATCACCAAGAACATTTTAAAGCTTTATTTTGTCTGTTATTTAAAGTGGAAAATGCTGTCCCTCAAGACACTGGCACTCTGCCATTTGCCTCCAGAATATTTCATGGTTCATTGTCAGGACTGCTGATTTTTCTAGAAGAACATATGGACCATTTTGGAGAAGTTTTCTGTAACATTCAGATGCTGAACATGTAGTATTATTTACATTTTAGACTTACTGAAAAGTATATTGAAGCATGATGACACAAAGGGAGGCTTGTGAGTTGGAAGACAAAAGGGATAAATTTAATTGAAGCAGTTTTTAGCATCATTAGAATGTATTCCTGTGATTTCATTTTTTTTCACTGGTTTCTCCTCCTCCTCCTCCTCCTTCTCTTTCTTCTTCTTCTGGTGATTTCAAGTCACTATAAAAAATCCTCCTGCACCCTGTGATGTTGATAAATAAGTCATTGGAATATAGTAGAAGTTAGCACACACCTGAGGATGATTGTGCCATTAAAATTGCATCCAGTCAATCTGGGAATACCTCACCTGAACTGCTCTGTAAACACTCTTCTCACTAAAACACCTGTTTGGTCTGATGGTGCATATTTCAAAGGAATAAAACAAAATGCATTTAAAACAACCCATTAAAATTAAAGTATGACTGCATTCTGAATGGAAGTGCTAATTACAACTCTAAAAAAGAATAGTTTCCCCCTTTTGTACAATACATTGTATTGATGACTATAACTGGGCAGATTCTACTTTCTACTAGATTATCTCTTTGCTGGTCATTTGGTGAGCAACTCATTGATTCACTAAGTTCTGAAACTAGCTGGCTCTCAAATGAGAGCTAATCTGCAAATGGTACTATGGTGAGAAAGGAAGAATGGAGAAGTACAAGAAAAGAAGATAAGAAAATAATAACCATGTTCTAAATCTGGAAACCATTGGTGGCTCCATAGTCAGGGACCTCAGCATTGAAAGATTTTTGCCCAAGCAAACCTGGGGTCTTTCTAGATCTTGAGCAGTTGAGGTGTTGGCAGGAGAGAGGTGGTGATGGTCTGAGCAAGATGAAAAAAAGGAAAATAAAAATAAATGAAAGAACCTTCATGTCATCACAGAAGGCATAAAATCAGAGATAGATTTGAGAGAATGTGCCCTTTGGAGAAACCAACTGTGAGTATGGCAGTGTCTTAACCACTTCAATTAGTTGATTCTCACTTGTGTTGCAAATAAATATATCATCTCATTGTTATCTTGTCCTTAACCTATGAGTCTCATTTTGCCACTTGGCCCTGACAACAACTAGGGTGAGTTCATTCTCTCTGAACTCGCTTGATGGTTAGTGGCACCCACTTGCTCCCTGAAGATTCCTTTAAGGGAGAGGAAATGGAAACTTGGGAAGAATCCCTACAGGCAAAAGTCTGGAAAATTAGCAGAATCCCTAATTACCCAGGCCACATGGGATGCGGGAAACAGTCACATAGACCAATGGTCGGCAAACTCATTAGTCAACAGAGCCAAATATCAACAGTACAACGATTGAAATTTCTTTTGGGAGCCAAATTTTTTAAACTTAAACTATATAGGTAGGTACATTGTTATTAACTTAATTAGGGTACTCCTAAGCTGGCCTTTGCTAAAAACGTCCTCAATCTGAGGGGTCGACCTCAGTGAACGTACACCCACTTCTTCTAATGCCACTTCTTCAAAATAGACTCGCCCAGGCCGAAAACCGACTTCTGTGCATGGGCCACGAAGTTTCAATCGCACTGTAAGTGCGCGCCCACACATGGTATTTGGGGGAAGAGCCACACTCAAGGGGCCAAAGAGCCGCATGTGGCTCGCGAGCCGCGGTTTGCTGACCACTGACATAGACTCATTCACTCCCGCAGCAGCCTAGAAGACAGGAGAGACAAAGGAGGAAAGGACCAGCTCCCCTTCACTTTCTAGAGGCAAAGTCAAGAGAAAAAAAGACAATTTGTTGAGAAAGTTTCAAAGTGGTTGTTTAGTTGTCTGATTGATGACTGGTTAGTATATTTCTTTTCTCCATAGACCCAATGCGATTTTTTATATTATGACCCACGTTATATTACAATGGTATCTGTCTTTCAGATCAGTGTGTTCTCATTAAAGTTGGGTGAATTAAAT